TCTTACATGTTTAGCAATTTATTGGCTCCCACTAGTTTTAAAAAGGATAATGTCGTTTCCTTCCACTCAGAGTCTGGCAAACTTTCAGCATGAATGAGGTATGCGCTTATGGCCTTACTGGTATTTTTTGTTGACATATTCCTTCTAACAAGCTTTATGTCACATACCAGATCTCAGTTTTTTCTTGTACATAATAAAAATTACTGTCGTGAATTCTGAAGTATACTTCACTGCATCCCACACTGCAAACGAGAGAGATTGTGAGAGGACAGTAAACAGTCTGTCTTCCTACTGGTAATTTTATAATTGTATTATCCTGCATATGCAAAACTTTTAATCTATTTTAACAGTATGACAACAGAATAATGCAGAAGTTTTGAGAAAACTAGTCAAATATGCCAGTTTTTGGCACCTTACTCTAGTTTCCAAACTAAAGCCAGGGAACAGTCCCCACATGTCTAAAAATCTCACTGCAAAGATTACTGATTTGGTAAATACTATAGGAAAAAAAGTATGAAACTAGTAGGGGATTAAAAGGAAAATATAAGGAAATTATTTTACAACATATAATGACACATACTATGGCAGAAAAATATTATTTTACAAAACAAAGTTACTGAGTATGGGAGGTCATTCCCTGCAAAAGCAACTTTACTCATACTGCAGCCAACTAATTCTTAGCTGTAATCAACCAGAAGGAATAAAGTAAATTTACTTGTTTTAATTCAAATATAACTGAATCTTTCTCAAAATATATCAGTATCAGCCCAAGAATTTTATTCTAAATGTCTAAACTTTGTGGTTTTGTCGAGTTTTTTTGTTAATAACTGTTAGCAAACTTCTTGGCAATTAACTGTGTTGAACCCTGGCTGTTGTCTTGTTCGGACCAACACAGTTATCTACTGAAACAGAACCTTCTCCTCAAGTCTCTGCCTGTTTTAGTCTCATGGTAAAAAAGAAAGAAAAAGTTGTTGAAATGTAAATATTTGAGTATTATTAGATTAGCCTTAGGAACTTAGGAACTGACTATGTCTGTTAAAAGAAGCATGCATTACCCATTTAGGTTACTAGAAGAATGTATACCAGTACTTTGCCAAACAAATTTTATCTGAATCCTGTCAGGCAGTTGTAGAGGGTGATAAGGTCTCCCCTCAGCCTCCTCTTCTCCAGGGTAAACAACCCCAGTTCCCTCAGCCGCTCCTCGTAAGACTTGTGCTCCAGACCCCTCACCAGCTTTGTTGCTCTCCTCTGGACGTGTTACAGCAATGCAACGTCTTTCTTGTAGTGAGGGGCGCAAAACTGAACACACTCCAGTGCCGAGTACAGGGGCACGATCACTTCCCTACTCCTGCTGGCCACACTTACGCAATACTCAGCGTCAAACCATATTGAAGCACAGTCAACTGCAACCTGAAAACAATTCTTAACTCTGCGTCTTGGAGTCCACCTTTAGCTTCTCCCATTTCACTGTGAGGCAACTTAGAATTATATTAATTGCAATGATACTGTATCACAAAATGCTTTACTGTATGAAGTCATGAAGAAACAGATGAATCTCAGGTGGATCTAACAGAGGAACAGACGCAGTGCCCTAGAGGTCCTAACACCTCACCAAAGGGTGAGAGCACCTCACCAAAGGGTGAGAGTAACTCAGCAGTAATTCATATCTTAGGATGGAGAAACAAGATGACCTAAATAAGAAGATCTTTTGCACAGGAGAGCTGAGATTGCATGAACCTGGATATCCATTTCTGAAACAATGTGAATAAAGAATGAATGTAGAATCAAATGCATTGGAAGGCAAGTCATGACTGGATCTATTTGAAGATGTGAGGAAGTGAAGAAACTGTGTAAGAACAGGCTGTAAGTATTGTGACATTCCCATAAAATGGGAAAAAAAATGTTCAGCTCTAAGAGTTTTCAAATACACATTTGTGCTAAGAAATAAATGTATTTTTAAATATCCTTTCTGAGTCTATGTGTATTTTCCCCATCATCTAGAAGAACACACTGAATAGATAGTTAAATTCTGTGTGTCGTAATATTAAAGAACTTACTGAATCTACACGATTCATTAGCTCATTGTTTAGTTCTCAGAAATGGAGTCTTGATCATGACAATCCTGCATAAGAGAAGTAATATGGATCTTTGATAAAAGCCTACGCACTAGAATCTTCAGCAAGTAATCTAAACAATTGAGAAGAAATCACTTGGAATTTACTTGGAAATGTGGCCCATTTTATTTTAACTGAAAAGCATTCATTATACAGTGCAAACAGTTCTTTGGTAAATTTACTGATTAAAATAAAACAACAAAGACTTTGTTTTAGGTAACATTAAAAAAGAAAATAAATATGTAATATTTGCAACATATTACAGCAATATTCTCACAGTGGATACTGAGGAAATGGTGGTCTAGCCATTGGCCACTGTTTCAGAAATGTTAAAATTAATGCTGATTCTGCAGACACTGCAATAAAACTGAATTAGTACAACCCATGACTGATTACATTTTAAACTGTGGATAAAGACCTGTTTTTCCTGAATGGTTTATAATCAGACGGATGGCAGAAAATAACACAGTATTACACTTGTTTAAGCATATCCAGACTCCTAAGCCCATTTTATATACCATATGAATAAACAGTGAACAACAAAGAAAACCTCCCACTTTACTCTGGAGGCTGGAGAAAAGGAACAATCAGATATAAGGTACTATTTTATAATGTATAAATGGAAACTCTCTTCTCCTATAAGCGGAAATCTCAGGAAAGTTTATTTAATATAAAATTGGAATAAAAGAATGCAAGTAGTAACCAACTGGATGTATTACTGCCTTATTTAACTGTTTAGACAGTTAAATTATATTTGGTTTAGCTCCACAATCCTTCCTCTTTGAGGAATTCCTGCCATAGGTCAATAGGAGTTCCATCTGAGTTGGAATTACAGGACGAGACGTGTGGTTTGGACTCTCAACAAAAGTCAACAAAATACCAGAGTATCAAAGAAATACAGGAATGACAGCCTCTAGGAACCATATGATACTCAAACATGCTCGCCACACACAATTTCTAAAAGTATTAACATAGAAAATTACATAAGTCAAAACATTGTATATAAAATCAATTAAAATAGTCTTAAAAATATAAATTGTAGTTCCATGTGTACCTCTACCACACACCTTTAACACACCACTCACATGTACATATTGCTCCTACCATAATATGGAACAAGTTTCTGTAGCAAGCTTTAAAGATACACCAAAGTTTGAATGTGTGTCACGGTATCAGTTCATCAAATTAGAAATTATTAATGTTAGTAATCAGAGAAATTATGTGCCAAAACATTATAGTGGGACTCATATTGCTGTGCTAGGTTAGTTATTAGACAGGTATTTGATCTACCATGCAATAATTAAGTATTTGCATAATCTGAAATGTTTAAGATGAGAATGTTTAATTTTGTGCAGTTTTCTTTGATATCCAAATTTCTGTTCCCTAACTTTGAACAATAAACTCAGAAGTCAGTGAACTATGTAACTAAAGAAAAGTTCTGGTTCTAGTTAGTCCTGACTTAGAACTTAAGGACAGAGCCACAAATTCTAACATATTAAGTATTCAGGGAGAGAGTAAGTTCTGAATAAACACAAAAAAAGCTGTAGAATGAGGTATGATAGTTGTCCTTCAGTGAATATAATATATAATTCCTGGTCAAAAATATGCAGTTTGTATTGCAAAAAGTACACAACTTTGAAATGCTAGAGTAGACATATACTCTATAATGTTAAACATTTATTAAATGGGAAATAGAGTCCATTGGCAGACCATTTTTAACATGAATGACAAAAATACTGAGGTAAAAATATATATGCATTAGGTGAAACTGGAAAAAAACCTAAAAATCAAACAACTTGTCAGAAAAAGTAGTCAATCCACAATTAATCATGATGCTTGATTTTGATTGTTCTTTTTTTGCAACAAACAGTGCCACAATATAATGAGGAACATATATCTATTGACAATATGCACAATGAATCAGTAGGAATTTTTGTATACAAAATGGCAAGTGACATCTTTTCACATTTTCCTAACAGGGCCATACAAATACATGAGCTGATCTGAGATCAAGAGAAGCATGCTTTAAAACTTTACTGCATGGTCATGTTACAATGATTTAGGATAAATGAAACAAAAAAAGGCACCAAGCAGTTACATATGTTTTGACAAAAAGGATTATGATCAAATGCTACTCTGTCATGTATGTTTTCATAGAATGAGGAACACTGTCAATTATACATTCAGTTGCTTTTTGTATCTTCCAATTACAATGAGTCATATTTCCTTACTAATTCTAGCTTTTTCGGTTTGAAAATTTTGATTAATTTTGCTCCTTGAGTTAATGAAAGGATGTTGAAACGTGTCATGTAGTTTTCTTTGTTTCCTTCGTGGTCCAGTAGCAGAAATGATAGTGTGATTCAAGAGAATTTCCATGCATAGGTGGGTTTGCAGAAACTGGCCCTCTATGGCATTGCATCGGGCACAGTGACCTTGTGTTTTCCTTTTCCCTGCATTTACTAAATAACAACAAAGAGCTAATATCATATATGAAGAAGGAGAGTAAACTTTTAATGTTGCTAATTAAAGATAGGAAACAAAGTGTTCATTTTAGACTAAGTCTTAAGAGCAGTCATTTTGGGTACCTAAAACTACCTGACAGTGTTCTTTTAAAGTAGCACCAGTTTGAGTTTATCTAACCTGAGAAGTTTAACACACAATTAACTTTGACCTGTTTGCTAATTTCCCTTTTGTTAATTTTTGCATTGTGATTACCTTCATGGGCAGAAAATAAAATGATACATTAAGTTATACTGTTACAGCACCATTAGAATGTTGTAAATCTTGATTTATTGCTGTTGTTAAGACTGTAGTTACCTGTTTTTGCCATCAGCAGGCATTGATATGATTTGAGGAGTATGCACCCTAAATTCTTAAAAAGCAGACTTATGGCTTCTTTTTATTAATATTTTGTTTTAAGCAGACTGGACAGCAATCTCCTTTGACCTTCACAGGTGCTTCGCAGTCAGCCGGTGGGCATGATTCTACAAAACAGGTAATCTGACCAACCTGTGTCAGAAAAAAAAGTAACAGAACCAGAACATACTTAGCTATATTTTCCAAACAAGAAATAAATTTTTCATATTATTGAAGAACATGTTCTCGTTCATCGTCTCTAAGATCTTGGCTACTAAGATTAACTCCACATAGTTTATTTCAGCATAAACTGATACTGAGAAGGCTCTTTGTATTATACCATCTTTAATAGAGCACTATACCATTTTATCCAATGTTCAGGCATGAAACTCTGGGATATCAAGTACTGACATATTTCTTTAACTACCTTTTCAAAAATTTCACCATGATAAAAGAAAATGAAAATCTAGAACTGATTTAGATGAGCTTTTATTGATTTTTATGTATTTTAGTAGACTTCTATCAAGAAGTCTCTTATTTTGCAGTTAATTTTGCCAGTACAACTATACATCCATGAAAATGGAAATATAAAAGTATATAAAGACTGGACTGAAAACTGGTGTCAAGGGCAGGGATATCTGAACAATGTAATTCTTTGCACCACATAACTGAAGGTCCATAAAAAACCAATTAGCAACTATTACCCGGAAATTAGCAGGCACAAAACTGGAACTGCTGTTTTAGAAGCAGAACCTAATATAATTCCTATCTCAAAATGGATTACCACATACTTACTTTGCATTCACACACAGTACAAGGGTCCCTTTTCCAGGTTTCATTGCTGGAATATGATTTACCCTTTTCATCAGTGCAATCAGTTTTACTGAGTCGTGATTCAAGTTTTTTTATCTGAAAAAATTAAAAAAAGTTAATAACTGAATGAAAGAAAGGTTTTTACTGATGCAAGGTATTCTGCCTTTTCTCTTATGCTACATAATCCACGATAAATACTTGTCCGGGTTTTTCTTCTCACTACTTAGATTTCATAATGCTAAAAGATTGGAAGCAGGTAATACATATGGAAACAGCCTTTCAAAAGAAAACTAACAGAAGATACATTTCTTACCATTGGAATACACAACTAGAGCATACAAAGAGAAGCAAACTACATGGGATATATATGGAAAGACAAATCTAAACTTAATTATTCTAGGCAAACATTTTGGCCTACTTTGGATTTGCCTGTCCTGTATGGTATACATATGAATTCCACTATGGCTGAGTTCTTTTAAAGAAAGAGTTTATTTATGCCACATCGTGAAAGTCTTCTCTGAGTGATCTAGATCTTACCTATGTTTACAGCTGTAATCTGGCATATTAGTTCTCATAAAGTCTACATTTTAATCATAGTTTTACATAATTCTGTACATTTCAGATAGGAAAAAAAGATTTTACTAACTCTACAAATTGTTAGAGAAAGACTAATCCCATGTTTAGTATACAATGATTACACAAGGCTTCATGTTCAAAAGTCAAGAGGGTCTAATTGTAGAATATTTCAGTATGATTTCAAAAGAACATAGAAATAAAGAGTTATAACACACCATGTTCTGTGTTGTGTTTTGTTTGAGATACTATGTGGTGGGTTTTGGCTACAGTGGATGTCTAAATACTAAAAACCTAAGAGGTGTGACATTACGAAAACTTTATAAACTAAACCTATAATTAGAAAGTATCCATTATAGCACCTTACCTGGTTTCTGAGGCTTGAAATAGTCTTTTGCATTTCCAGGACAAATTCTTTGAAGTCATTCACTGCGGGCATGTTTGTATTTTCATTAGATGCTGATGTGGCATTTCGAAAATATTTACTGTATTTCACAGAACTGCAACAAATGAATGCCAAGTCAGTGTATTCATCTAACTCATTTTTACTAGGCTAGATATTTTAGAACACTTAGCAAAAATGTAAAAGAATGTAGAAACTGTATGAACCACAACAGCACACAAGAGCCACTGGTGCTAAGACAGCCTCAGGTCAGGTGAGCTGTGGATTACTGTTAATATCACTAGGAATAGGGAATTTCTTCTACTTAGAAAAATAATGAATGTATTTCATGCAGAGGGACACACAAAGTTGTCATCAGTGACACTGTAGAGCATCAACTTGAATTCACTGGGAAATCTCTTGAGCCTCCAATATGAAAGCAGACAAAAGTGAAAGAATCTTAAAAAATGTTACTTCCAAACATGAAATTCACATTCAGATTCAGTTTCTCCCTCTATATGCTCATTAGCAAAACATGTATTTAAAGAAATATGGCTTTAAAAATAAAAAGTCGTTTTTCATAAATAAAGGAGAAGTACTTTCAGATAGGCACACACTCCTGTGTTCCATTTTAACTAAGATTTGCAATCAATACTGATATGGTACACAAAATCTAGAGTCTCTTGTTACAGCACTGTCCAGCCGATATCTGGTAAGACATATACAACTCTAAATTGTGTTAATCAATGCAATCTGTTGATGCAAAACAGTTATCAAAGGAACTGTCCATAACTAATAATATATTATTTGGCACCACTTAAAACCCATGTATTCAAAACCAAGGATAACACTAATTAAGTCACTTATTACATTAAGATCCTGAATTCATACAAGCATTCCTAGTTTGTTAAGTGTGTCTTCTCCAGAGCTAGGGGATACCCGAAGAATGAATTGGCAAAGAAATCCTCTCTCATATAATAGGGCACATGATTTATTATAATCTTTCTGCATAAATTAAAACAACACTTACTGGCAGGGGTTCAAACTACTTAGTTTCCCATAGTTTTTAATCTAAATTAAAGAAAAAGAACTCTAAACAACGTAACATGCCAAAATTCAAGTAAACCAGCTGCTGTTGTATAACAAAAAGTTTAATCTTCCCCACCTGCTCAAGTTATTGAAAATGAGAAGGGAAAAAAAGGAGAAAAAAAGTTTCACCATAAATACAATTTAAATACAACCATAAGCATGAGAACTGATGAGAATGTTAAAGGACTGGGGTTGCTTTAGCTTTATTTCTGCTATAAATAAAGTACTGTAAATTTACTATTTTGTAGTTCTAATTACTAATTGGACTGTTGTAGATTTCTGAGCTTCTTTTCTGAAACACAGTCAGACAGCAAGTTAACAAAAACAAGCTGCTTCTCAGATATAAGCATTCATTTTTTCTTGCTTTCAGTTTTAAATAATTTAACCCTTCTACAGTTTTAAAATTATGGGACTAGCATCTTTAAAAAGTGAATTGCTGTTTTGTAAATTCAAAACCTTTTAACAGTCCACTTGCAAAGACAGACTAAACATCCTTCTTCAAGGATTACTTCAAAGGAATCTTTCTTTTTCTGTGGTCTATAAGTAAGCTTATACTTAGCTGCTGACTTCTCTTGTCTAAAATCCTAAACGCCTAAAGGCTCTGTTACTTCAGGACAGCTTCCTATCAATGAAGTGAAATATAATGGTGGTGCTTCGTCAGTGCTATAACATCTTCATGAGTATTTGAAGCTGCTGAAATAAATTTACCTGTCTACATATCTGTCTAGCTGCTTTCCTTGCCAGAGTGGGTAGACTCTGTCTGATTGTCTCAGTCAAGGAGATAAATTTATTTGCTAAAAGAGCACATGCTATATGGAAAGAGCTATAATCCAAAAGAGTCTCAGATTCATTCATCGTGAAGGATCTTCATAAGCAATGTTTCGTCTCAGCAGAACTCATTTCATTTCACTAATTCATAGATAAGTTTTGATTCCCTAGAAGTTACAGGCACCCTGTGCAGTTGATCATTTGTGACCGACACTGTGATTTACTTCCTTGCTAGAGTACTTTGAGGATTAGGGAGTCATATAGAAGCAATCCCTGCCATTATCACAAATTTTTGTGCTAGTATCACAAATTTTTGTGCTAGTGTTATCAACACCTGGTTTCCTCCTATTTCTACAGGAGGACCTAGCAGCTCCAAGGAGGGAATAACTTAGTTTGGTTTACTGAAGGCACCGTAGGAATGTGGGATTCCAAATCCCCCAAATTATGCTTCATTACTGAGTTTTTTCATTAAAAGCATAGAAGAACAAAAGCACTACACTGTGTTAATCACAAAAGGGCTTACACAAATTTGAGCTTAAAAAAAAAAAGCGGTTTACAGTTAGCAGATATGTGGAAATGTCAGAATGAAATACATCAATCTTGAAATTCAGAAAGCAGACACTGAAAACAAGTGGTATGCACTTACAAAGAAACTATTCAGTTTCATTCCATTTTAAAAACAAATTTTTTTTATACTTTAAAAAAAAAAAAAAAAGAATCTCACCTTACTGTTTTGGACATTTTCATTTTCTTCAAGGGCTTGTCCTCCTGAAAGCTGTAGTCAAGAGACCGTCTTCCCCGAAAGTGATATGAAAATGCATTAAACTGCCCTCTAGTTCTACAGTCTGAAATTAGATAAGAAATTGCACATTATAAACTACAGCATAATTCAGCAGTTATAATATTAATATGGTTTTACAGTATCTTCTGAATTGGCAAAGGCAATTCATACATTCAGTCATCCCTCTGGAATCAGTTTGATGGCAGCTGAATATGTCTCAGCAATAAAACATTTATGCAGAGAATTTGGTTATTCACAGGACAGCTTTTTGGTATGAAACAAAGGAATAAAGATTATTTTCACAAATATATCAGTGCTACTTTAACTATTCTTTTCACTTCTGAAATTTCCACTCTCTTGGCTTTTAATTATTTTCTGCTTTTGGAATGGGGTAGTTGCATATGGAGGAAAACAGTGATAGATAAAACAGCCTCTTGCTTCCTCATCTATTCTAAGCATTATTATTTGTTATTTTTGAAAGAGAATTTTAATTAAATCCTGGAGAACATCTGCAGACACACTTTATTGGTTCACCATCCCTATTTCCAAATTTGAGGGATTTGCAGGTATCACCAGCCCCTTAGACTCTAAGACCCCACCACAGAGTGAAAATCTCAAGCCTGAGAATAATCATGACAGAAATCTTCTCATAAGATCCTAAGAGGACATCTTCACAGGATGAATTATGTCTTTCCTTCAGTTCACTTTTTTTAGCCTTCCAAACACAGCGAATATTTGGAAGGAGTCCCATTTAAAGAAGAAGAAAAAACAAAACCAGAGCAGCATTTTGGAGAGGAGACAATGAGAAAATAAAGTTTCTCATTCCTATTCACAGTAGCTGTAAAACAAAAAGTTGTAACACGCCAAGCTGCAGCGGGAACCAACAGCATGTTCAACTGTTAGAAGCAAAGAGTCTGCTACGAAAACAGAAGGGAAAGCTGAAACACAGAATCCCATGGACACATCCCAGCTAAGTCGTATTAGCAGAATGAGCCATGAAAGCAGTTGAACAGGGGAAGAAGTAATTTTCCCTAATGTTTCTTTTATCTTGCACCAAAAAAAATTTATTCAGAAAGTCAATACAATTTTATAAAGTATTTTCCTGGAATTTAGCAGTAGCTAGATCGAATACCTAAAGTATTAACATGAATCATTTCACAAGTTTCAAGTCAAGAAAAGAACCTCAAAACACTGTTGAACTGAGCAACTTGAGAAAGAAATGCAAATTTGTTCTGTGATTATATAAAAATAAGTATCTTTGACTCCTTTTAATTGTATTGGACTTTTACTTAAATTAGACTACCGCAATTTTCCTGTTAGCAAAAACTTAGCTTGTCCATGGCTTAATATCAATTAAGATAGAAGAAAAAGAAAGACAAAAAAAAAAAAGTACTGACTGATTTTCAGTTCAAAATCAGTACCTACAGATCATTCTTGAACGCAATTTATCCACACAGTTCTCCTTCCCTTTTCTTTCCTTGCAGCTTGTCCCATTCTTGAGTAAATTTATTACCTTCCTCCTATAATAACAGCACCACTAAAGAACTAGATGATATTTACTGCCAACATATTGTTCATTCTTCTTGTGTGTTCTGCTGTTTCTCACACAATCTTGTTGCTGCCTACTCAGAAACTAAGCTCTTTCAGATGGGAACAGACCGCTGTGTCTGTAAGATGCTTGGCATGACGGCATTTTTGATCACCCTTAGACACTTCTATATTTAGCATGGTGAGAAAAGGGGTCACATTCTGAAGGACCATTGGAGAAAAAACTAGTTTGGGTCAGAGGAGTTTTTTCTTAAAGCAATCTTGCTCAAAGTTTCCCTGAGTGTCATGAAAATTTTAGTTTCTCTTGGAAGCAGTTTGTGAAATGTTTCTGCTATCCTCTGTTTAATAACTGCTACGGTTATCTCGCATAATATAGATTTTTTTTGGGGGGGTGGGGGTGGGGTGGGGGGAGTGGGGTTACAATAACACAATGGCCTATTGTTTTTTTATTCCTAGGCTGGTTTTTAGAAACAAAGGTCTGAAATCCTGGGAAGGTTTTATCACCTTAAACTGGTAAATATGAGAACCATATGTTCAGTGGCAGCTTCAAGTACACAGATCTGATATTTCTGTAGTTCTTAAAGACTCAAATAGCTCAACTTGCCAAATGAATAACAGTCATTCTTGTTTCAGTTTGAGGTACAAAGAAGAGGATTGTCACTGCCAAGAGGTGCAGGACAGAATGCTCTGCTCTAGCTTTCAGAAAGCCTAAACCAAGAAGTTTGTGTCTTCTTTTAACTGAAGAATACCTTAGCAGTTGTGGTAAATGAGAAAAATGAGCCTAAACTTCTGCTTTTTTCAGCCTATCTAAAGTTTTCCCAAGTTAGGTATACCCAGTCCAATTCATTTTCTGCACAAAAGCTGAATGTTTAAGAGCAATCTAATAATTCTTCTCTATGGACAACGTTTTCTCCCAGAAGCTAGGTATCGTTATAGTTATCTGCTACCCCTGGTAGCAGAGACAAAGCAATGTCACAGATTAAGTCTCCTCATTTTAAATTTATGAATTAGAACTGTATTTTACTGATCACGGATATCTGAAAAAGATAAAATATTCTTGGTTTGGATGAAATATAAACAAAAATACTGGTTCTCTCAAAAAACCTTTGTAATCATACAGAAATGCTGGACTATATTAAATGTAATTCTATTCAAAGAAAAAAAGATGTAATCCTTAAAATTACAGACTGTGGAACCTTATTGTAGTAGCCTGGCATCTTCTGAATTGCTGTTAAGCTAAAAGACACTGTCTTTAAATGTAAACTTAAGTTAACTTAGTAAGTTAACGTAAAAAGACACACTTGAATGTAGAAAGCAAATATAAATATGGCATGACAGAAGCAAACCACAGGATCTGTGTAAAGAGAAAACGTGTTCAAGCATAAATTGCATCGTTTTGGTATTTTGAAGAGTTCTTGGTAAACAATTTCCATTGTCACAAAAGATCTTGCAGTCTCACACTGAGACTGCTGTTAACATTTTAAAATGTTAGTCTTCCACAGCATTTAGAGCTTAGCCCAGTGTTGCTTAGTATTTTCACTGAAGATGAAGGAGCATAAGAAGATATAATGCTGGAAGTACAAACCAGACAATTTTTAACTCGGAATAAAGCACAGTCATTAAAACAGATAGTTGATGGCTTCCCAGAAGCAATGCTTACATCAAAGAGGTCAGTACAGAAGCAACAGATGACATAATTGTTGGTCTGGTCTTAAAATGCAGGAATTCATAAACATAGGTCTATCCTACTGGATGACCATGTACAAAAGCACTCAGATTAAGAATGTGTCTTAATTCTTCTAATAAAATTCAGTAAGATTTAAACATGTTTAATCATAATTTGTGTAAGGCTGTTGTCCTGAACTGAACAAAAAATAACAATATTGGATACTGGAGATATATTGGTTGCTAACTGGGAACCATTTAAGAAAAATCATCTTCCTAAATCAGTTTATGTTTATAAGAATGACTTGCATCTTGTCTAAATCACTCCCTCCTGGGTCATTGCTTGACATAAAACAAAAAGCTAAAGAAATTTTTCATTTTGATTTACAAAAAAAAAGTGTGAAACTTTGAAAGACTCACAATGGAAAAAAATTCAAATTTACATATTTGGAGTAAAACCATGTTTCCATTTGAGCCAATATGTCTTTGCACCTAATTTCTAATCTTTTTTTACATAATTCATCTTACAAAAAAAAATTATAACCATAAAAGTATGCTTATATTTGAGGGAAGAGAGGTTTATAATTTCTCTGTTTTGGGCTTAGAACTGAGATACAAAGTTAGTAAGAGTAATCATGGAAGCATACACTGAGTATTTTTTTTTAAAAAGTCTCTTTTTTTGCACTCAAGAGCCTGAAAAAAGCACCAAAAGTTTCTTGTTTGGAAAATCTGAAGCTTGGATGCTCTTTACTCAAATAAAGAGCTGCAGTAAATCTGCAGCAACTCCTCACCATCTCTGACAAGACAAAGAAAGGTAGAAAGTGAAGGAAACCAGAAGAAGAACTTGTGTACCTCAGTGGAACCCTTTCTTTTTCCCACCACAAACTAGTAAATCTGTTGTATGTTTCGTCAACTGAAATCTAAAAGTAATCTGGTATTGTTATTAGAAAAAGGAATAATGCTCTGCTTTATAAGAAATAAATACTAGCTTTACTAAAGAAATCTAAGTAGCTTTTTGTAACTACGAAGTTTTTCTATTCTTCATATGGAAAAGTATTTTGACTTGAACAAAACAGGAAGGATAACAAAAACAGATGTGTTTTTTAACTAAGATGAAATAGCTGAACATATGGGTCACTGATTAAAATACATAAAGTGCAATGAACAGTATTCTGTGTTCTAAATTTTAACTTAGGATAATTTTAATTATAAAATAATCAGAAGTATTTTAAATGTGGAGAATGGTTTTATTTTTTTTCTTTTAAACAATAAACAATAACAAATTCAAAGAAACAAAAAACCAGAACGTATCTAACTTAAAGTAAATGCTGTTCTTGCATTTATGCTATGTATGCACTTCAGAGTAGTGGTGAGGCTCTAGTGCCACAGAATGAAAGAAATTTTTGAAATAATTGCTTAAACCTGGATTCCTACAGGAAACGTCACACCCATTCATCCACGCAAGAAAGCAGTTCAAGCCGTGTATACTTCATTTTTTCTCATTAAGCTCTGCAAAGACTTCAGAAGTGTTCAGAAGATAGGCAGTTCTTTAAAGAACATTAGTTATTTACCCTTTCTTTTGCTTGGCAGTTGTCTAACTGTACTGCATCCAGTACTCCTCTCTGGTAGTAACATTCTTGAATGAATACAAGCTAGGCTGTTGAATGGCTGCACACTCTAAAGACTTTCCAAAGATAACATCTGCTCTAGAAGGCTCGGTGATAACATAACATTTAGAGAATCAACACATAATTTCTGAGAACAGCTTTACAATTTTTCCGAATCAATATAATTAATGTATTTGTGAAACTGTCTGCCAAGCTTCATGAACCATGGCAAAGTGAACTTATCCTGAACTGGTAGATTATGATTTATTTGCATATGGTAAAACATTTGAAGAGTGATAACTGATTTTCTTGCAATGCATCTGGCATATATCAGGGTTATTTTGAAGTTATTCTGGAAGACTTTGCATTATAATTATAATTCGTCAACCATATCTAGAGTTTTATAAGCTATTATAACCTACTTGGGAATGGCAAACCTGGTAATTGTTATTTAAAAAACCTGAATAAAAATTCAGGTGGAAAATTCGAGTAAAAGCTGAATGAAATGGTATCTGGGGGAAATTGTACAAGATTTCATTGGGATCTAAAGTATTTATTTCTCCTACTCTCACACAGATAACTGACATTTTGAATCAAGCCTTCCAAGGAATAATTTTCTTAGACAGTGATTTATTATTTAGAGACTTGTTTACTGGACAAGACAATATGGTAGTCAGTTTAAAAGCTAAATTGTGCAGCAACTTTGAATGCTAACTATCTACTTTTTCAATTTTTAGTGATTCCTGAATTTGTTCTCATGGTAAAGCCACATTAGTTAGAATCCTTCCTCAGTATTTACTGTGTCTCGTGAGGTTGAAGGGACATCCTCCATCAGTTTAGCCTTTACCTACTGCCTTAAATTCTGAGCTATAGCACCACAGGACTCTCAGGGACAATTCTATCTTACCAAAAGAGTTAAATGGATGCTAACAGCAGAGTGCGACCTCTCTCAGAAGTACAAGCCACTGGTTCTTTATTCATAGAATCATAGAATCATAGAATCGCTTTGGTTGGAAAAGACCTTTAAGATCATCGAGTCCAACCGTTAACCTAACCCTGCCATCCCACCACTAAACCATATCCCTAAGCACCTCATCTATCCTTCTTTTAAATACCTCCAAGGACGGGGACTCGACCACCTCCCTGGGCAGCCCATTCCAGAGCCTGACAACCCTTTCAGTGAAGAAGTTTTTCCTAATATCTAACCTAAACCTGCCCTGGCGCAGCTTCAAACCATTCCCCCTCGTCCTATCATCTGTTACCAGGGAGAAGAGGCCGACCCCCACCTCCCTACAGCCTCCTTTCAGGTAGCTGTAGAGGGCGATCAGGTCTCCCCTCAGCCTCCTCTTCTCCAGACTAAACAACCCCAGTTCCCTCAGCCGTTCCTCGTATGACTTGTGCTCCAGACCCCTCACCAGCTTGGTTGCTCTCCTCTGGACATGCTCCAGCAATGCAACATCCTTCTTGGAGTGAGGGGCCCAAAACTGAACACAGTATTCGAGGTGCGGCCTCACCAGCACCGAGTACAGGGGCACGATGACTTCCCTTGTCCTGCTGGCCACACTATTTCTGATACAGGCCAGGATGCCATTGGCCTTCTTGGCCACCTGGGCACACTGCTGGCTCATATTCAGCGCGCTGCATGGGGTTGTTGTGACCAAAGTGCAGGACCCGGCACTTGGCCTTGTTGAACCTCATGCAGTTGGCCTCGGCCCATCGATCCAGACTGTCCAGGTCTCTCTGCAGAGCCCTCCTCCCCTCAAGCAGATCAACACTACCACCCAGTTTGGTGTCGTCTGCAAATTTGCTGAGGGCACACTCAATCCCCTCATCCAGGTCATTGATAAAGATATTAAACAAGACTGGCCCCAGAACTGAGCCCGGGGGGACACCGCTTGTGACCGGCCGCCAACTGGACTTAGTTCCATTCACCACCACTCTCTGGGCTCGGCCACCCAGCCAGTTTTTAACCCAGCGATTATTCATGCAAATCTTTTGACAGAATATTGAATAGCCTACTGAGCAGGAGTAAACTCAAGACAATCAGCAGTAGAAAAAATTAAGAACTTGGATTCAGATATCTTTCATCAGCAAATCTACAAGATACTGGTATTGAAAGCTAGGTTCTTACTTGGTAAATTATAAGATTCTAATAATCATCAACTGATACTACCCTGATAACATTACCCTCTCCAATAAGAGCAAGTTTTTTACAGTTGACAATGCTTGACAGCAATTTCTAGAGAATCAAGAGTTCCACAGAGAAGTTCCCAAAATTCTTGAATACACTTTTTCAGACATGGCATGTTATTTGAGTTTTGTCAAAAGAAAATGGTAACATTGTCAAGGAGCTCTCAATAAAGAGAGGTCATTGTCCTCTGAAGTATTTCGCTGTTGATGCTACTGCAAATCATTCTGCAAATCTGTGTGATCCAGAAGATTCTCTTGGGAAGTGACCTTCTAACTATATTAAAGATGCAGTGAAGTCTGATGTGATGATGGCTAAAGAGAGGCCATGCAGAAAATCTGTATGTGAGAGAGATATATGCTGCCAAGCCACATGGGATTCTCAGTGTCCTGTGCTTCATGTAAGCAAGCTAAGTAAACCCTGTTTCTGGAGGAAAAAAGTTTATTTCTGAAGAAAAACAAATCACCCCACTGTCCTAAGTTTTGAAGGGGACAGCAACAAACAAGAATATTTATCCACAAAAGGAAGAAAACAGGAAAACAGCTATCTATGCCATGCAATGCTCAAATCTATGCTGTGTTCAGAATATGTCTATTTAATATAAAATATGGAATGATTGCTCACTTAACAAGAGTTGTGTTCCAGATCTCAGTTTGTAGCTTCTTAACAAAAACTGAACAACACTCAAATATCTTAAAATAAAATGAACAGACACTAAACTGACCTGTCAGCCTCACCTCTGTGCCTGGGAAGATCATGGAACAGATCCTCCTAGAAGCTATGCACATGGAGGCCAGGGAGGTAATTCGAGATAGCCAGCGTGGCTTCACCAAGGGTAAGTCCTGCCTGACAAACCTAGTGGCTTTCTATGATGGTGTGACAACAACAGTGGACGGGGAAAACCAATGGACATCATCTATCTGGACTTCTGCAAAGCCTTTGACACGGTCCCCCACAACATCCTTAGCTCTAAATTGGAGAGCTATGGATTTGATGGGTGGACTGTTTGATGGATAAGTAATTGGTTGGATGGTCACATCCAGAGGGTAGCGGTCAACGGCTCGATGTCCAGATGGAGACCGGTGACGAGTGGTGTCCCTCAGGGGTCTGTACTGGGACCGGTGCTGTTTAATGTATTCATCAATGACTTAGCGAGATCAAGTGCACACTCAGCAAGTTTGCAGATGACTCCAAGCTGAGTGGTGCGGTTGATACATCGGAAGAATGGGATGTCATCCAAAGAGACCTGGACAAGCTGGAGATGTGGGCCTGTGTGAACCTCATGAGCTTCAACAAGGCCAAGTGCAAGGTCCTGCACCTGGGTCGGGGCAACCCCCGGTATCAATACAGGCTGGGGGAAGAAAGGATCGAGAGCAGCCCT